CCTATCCGCTTGAAAACGAGCGGTTCGTTTCGATCGTTTTCGTGCAGAGATGATCCTGAGAAACCAGGAAGACACGGCACACTCGTTCGTCGTCGGTTTTCGCGGATTATTACGCGAGAGTCTATCTTTAATTGCGTTATGAATATTTCATCGCGGATGCGGCTGCGCAACGGTCTGAAATTTATGCCAAATAAATGGCCTACCGCGGTGATAGGTAACAGACACTAGGAACCGAATCGTTTACCTATTATTTGATACCTTTGAAACACATTCGTAGTGGACAGATCTTCCTCGAATCCAAATTTTATAAATTAATTCCCCCTCCCTTTGAGTTTCAAGAACAGATGATTTCTACCCAGATTTACTGGTAAAATAAAATAGAACGAAAGAAAAGGCTTGTTTAATTCGGGTTGTTTTGTGTTATGAAAATGAAAATACGTAGATTGAAAATGAATATACCGTAGGGGACGTAGTTCCACGTTCTCGATTTCTCTTTTCTATAATAAATGTAACGAGGTTACACAAATAAACTCAATAACCGTAAGCAAGCATATTCTTCCGTGTAATTTGCTTATTATCATTATACTTTATATACAAAATTCATAATAATTAATATAATAATAATTGTAGATTCCGCTCGGTTGTTAGGAATAAATAAATTTATTTTCACGGGCAACGAATTACTATACATATATATTAATGGCTGCTCGCGGTATTATATATTAATATATTTAAATAAAGGTAGGCGAATGTGTGTTAATTGGCCACACGGAGCGGTACGTTAAAACACAATTTAATTAAACGTTTCGACCGTATGGGCGCGGTTCTCTTTAGGATATAATAATAGTATATCAAAACTTAATCCTACAAATATGTAAGGAAACAGACACCATACTAATTACATTATTATTAAATACGAATATATCGCTCGCGGGCTCCACGAGCATTAATTTCATTAATGTACGAAACATAAAAAAAAAATTCGTTATTAATTTATGGTTCCGTACGATCATTTAATATATATTTGGAAGGAAATAATATATAGATCGCTTGCTAATACCACGAGTATCTAATTTAATTGTCATGTATAGCAGTAATTGGAGAAAACGCTGTGGGATTGATGAAATCTGATCGAGACGACGAATGATGCAGAAAGTATGGCTGCTTAGAGTGCAATGCGAAGTATGCTGCGCTGCGTTGCCCTGCGCTCAATTGTGCGGCCAGTTTAAAAGTCGCCGCGCGTCCTTCGTTCTCTCGCGTTTAAGATATTCCGTTCGATCGACGAGTGATATCTTCATAGCTCCGCCGACGTGAATTATTAGACGCGGCTTCGCGTTTTTTCGGCCCATTCTTGGCGACGGAATTTATTTTCCGTTGCTGTTTTTCGCGCGCAGAACGCTCGTACGATTGTCTAGATTCGAGTCGTGCTTGAACGCGAAATCCATCCGAACTCGTTCTTCTCTTCAAACCTTCGAGGATTCTGATACAAACCGTAAGTTATATCGCAACAAATTACGATTTGAAAATGATTATTTGCAACAGAAATTACTGTGGCTCGTTCCATTAAGAAATTCTACTTCTCTACTCTTCATTTCCTCTTGAAAAGTAGGACAAATTGACTTAGGTTACGATCATGCTCTTAAGTCTACGTTTAATTTAGTTGCTAATGATACTCATTTGCATAAATTGTACATATCAAAATAATAATGTAAACATTTCAGATAGTTTATTTCGCTATTTTCCGTCGTACATTATACCTTGTCGATACTTTGGAAATAAGAGACACGAATGATAGTAACGATCAACTTAGTTACCGTTTGATAATTTCTGTTTGTCATTTTCCCATGCGTGAAATTATTGTAAATTTTATCGTAGCTGTTGGTTAACTAAAATTTTATGATTGACATAGTTACTGACCCACTATGTTGATATTACGAGCTACAACTTGTTAGTCGTTTCAATAATTCTTTTGTGAAATAACGAGCCTTCTATCGCGCGATGAAAATATACACAAGTAGGATTCCGTCTTTGCGTCAATTAACTGCAACTTTCGTCTATCTTTATTAATCCGGTTTCTCATTCTCTTATCACACGTGTTATTCGTACGGCCACGATAATCCCTGTTATAGAATCCATACGCTGCTACAATAATTAGATTAGGGTTCGTAATAACGCGTACAATGTATACGTATTCTAGGTACTAAAATTCAATGTATATTCATCTATTTCCAAGCACAATAATAATGATAGTCATAAATGGTGACTCTTTTAGCGTTGATAAGCTATTCAAATACACATTTGTTCAGTCTGTATATCTGCTTTTTACAAATGTTCTCAATAGCGCACAATTTTAAATTACCCGCAAAACATCTCTAAAGTCATGTTGACAGTTTCCATCGACATGCTCTCGACTTAAATACTATGAATGGCGCGTCAGAACAAATCCTTCGAAGAATACTTGAACCCCTCGGTTCATTTATAATCTCAATTCAAAACAACCGATCAAAAGTCACCCCCTTTGCTTCCGAAGTGTTTATATTAGATCGCCACATAATGGGGTTACGAACCCTTTGCAAGGCTTAGGTGCTAAATTCGCGTTCGAAAAACATAAAAATGACCATTATTAGCCTATAATCACAAATGGTAGCTTATTCCTTTGATGCCTAGTTATATCATCACTCACGAATATTATTTCAGCCCATTTTTTTTTTAATCTCGTATAGCCTCGTGGTGTTTTAATCCTGTCAGCTACGAAATTTGTATAGAATTTTTTTAGAAAAATCGTGACCCATCGGTGTGGAAACGCTGGTCCAAAAGATATCGTTATTTTCTTGGGGATGTCGTGGCTGGAGCAGGAAGTCCCGATCGGTTTACAAAAGCGAACGACGGTATCGTTATTACGATAAAAGCGATGAAATCAGTCCGTTGGTTGGAAATCTTTTGCACACGTACGGGACGCGCACCTGTGCAGGTATCGAGGCAGAGTGCGTAACGAGTCAAATTGGACGAAGCACGAACGCGAATCTCTCGAGCGTTTCTGCGATGTCACCTTGGCTAACGGTTGTAATTAAGGATCCTCGATTACCGTGCACGCTGTGTTCCCGTTCATTTCGCGAAAGCCACACGCGTGTCGCCTCGATAACCGCGAATTTTTATCGTTCGTTTTATTCCATTTTTTCTTTTCTTCATTGCGTTTTTGTTGTTTTTTTTCGCGATAAAATTACCGGCTCTCCGGCCTGACGGCCGAGCCACGTAATTAGCGTCAATAATCGACGGTGCTTTCGTTTCCGCGATGCCGTGACAAGGTACACGATCCCGACGATTCAAGAAAATCGTTGGCTTCCTTGCCACCGATCGATCCCTGGTATTTCTCGATCGTCGAGAGATCGACCGTGTCCTCAACGTGGAATTTTGTTCGTCGATGTCCCGGCGATCGGTGCAAAACTTCAATTAGCGTCCAACTGCTTGTAACAATTTTGTGCGAGCTTTCAGGAAGGTCTGTCATAATTTTGTTAATTACGTTCCTACCAAAATTGTACTCGATCCAAAAATATCGACGCTTGCAGGTTGATTGAAATCCTTTTTTAAACCGCGTGAAAGTGAGAGAACTAAAATCCTCGTAAATGAATTTACACCGTATTCCTTGTTGTTTAGTTTCAGTGAATGGATATACAGTATACTAGCAATTTGGTTTTTTCTTCCTCCTGTCTGTGTATAACAGTCCAATTACATTCGCTTCAGTAAGTTTGTTCTTTTCGTTTTTTCGCCTCTTTCCTTTAGTCTAATAATTCTTGTAGTTTTGTTACGATTATTATTCGCGTTTTTCTCCAGTGTTAAGCAAACAGAACATTTCCTCGGAGTTCAATGTAATTTCACGCTGTACATAACTCGCGTTTATTGTACTCTTGGATTGTCACGTTCGATTTAAATAGAAACAAACTTGGTCTTGTGTAATCTATTACACCAAAGAGCAAAAATCGTAATCGAAACGTTTAGCTATACTTGCAAATGCCATGTATGTGATTATGTTTTTAAATTTGACGTGCAGTACATATTATTTGCACACACAGTGACTCACAGGTGCGTTCACGTAAGTTGGAAGCAACAACATAACAAATTGCTGCATCATGTATATCGTGAGTTTCTTTAGAAATGGTCTCGCCTTCGATACAAATTAATCCGAAAGCACGAATTGAACGGGTTCGATTTGTTCCTGCAATAATTTGTGTTCGTCGTCGCGTATAAATAATAGCATCGAAATCTGAGAATTTCCTCTCTGTTATTGTCGTGAAATCTTTGGCATTAATCTTCTTGCTAGACTGTAGTTTTCGTGCCAGGTCTGGGTCGAGTGATTCTACGATTAAGTGAAATTAAGTTTTCGAAACCAGAGACGGTGCACTTGACATAATATATGAATTTGAAACACGTTCTTGCCTTTTATTTATGCGTATAATTTATCTAGGACGTCAAAAATTATCTAGGTTGCAGAGGGTTAATAATTTCGTTACTGCCTCGCTTCTTGCACCATATCGCGTTAGGGATACTTGCAACGATCGTTCCCTCTACGTCGATTAGGGGGAAACAGCAACGTCCAACGAGACGACAGGAGGGTTTGTAAATTCCTAAGCGTCCCCGTATTATTTTTCCGAGCGTATTCGATCGCGCGTCCTTCTGCGTTGACACCGCTGTCTCGCTCGGCAGAAATAAATTCCGCCTATTTTTGCACGCAACGGCGAACATTCCGCAACTATGGCACTCGGAGCAAGGACGGTGGTGGTTTCTATTTTTAATGCTATAACAGCGCGAAATCGATGCGCCCGCGTACCCCGATCGAGGGCTCTACAACGAGGCGTTGTTCGCGAAGTCGCTGACATTGCTCTAACGAAAAGAAATCGAGACGTACGATCCACGGATCTCTGACCGCGATTATCTTGATCACGATCGTCTTGGCGATCGATATGCGATTGTGACTAACTTTTTGGGGTTTTTGTTGTTTTTAGTACGACGATGGCGGGCTGCACGCGGGTTACCTCGAGGGCGGAGGTGGCGGCGGTGGCGCAGGGCTGTACGATCCACACGGGAGCGCCCGAGGTGTACCGGGCCTCCATCACAGTCCTCACCTCGGGGGTATGGGACCAGCACACCCCCAATACCCCCCGCCACCGCCACAGCCACCCCAACATGTTCTCGCGGCGGCGGCCGCGGCTGCTGCGTCTGCGGTGCCCGATGTCCACAAACGCGACAAGGACGCCATCTACGGGTAAGTCGACTTTTTTACAATCTTAGTTGTCTACCCTTGATTATTCAACCCCCTCGTATGCTGAAAGTGCAGCTCGAAAGCATTTAATAGCTCGTTATTCGAGTCTCATTGTCTGAGTCGATCATTCTTAATATTTTTTTTTGTTCCATGTTAGTGCAATGTATGGGATGGGATAGATTATTAAATTAATGCGAGGTAATTGTTCAGTTTTTGCTAATTCGAATATTCGAAATGGCTTGACTTCTTCTTGGTAATCAATTCGAAAATGATTTATTACACGCTAAAATAATTACTGGACACTTCATTTAAAAAATGATTTTCTGAGTATCCTGAAAATAGGATATTAGAAGTTAATAGATTAAAGACAAATATATTCGTTATCCTTTATGTGTAACATACTCTATTCAACTACTACGATAAGCGATTTTCTAATTACTTTGAGTACTGTATGATCGATAACAGATGTCAAGTCTTAGTGGTTTTCCTATTACTCAAGCATTCGAGTTACTTCCAACCTTAGAATAATTTAAAAGCTTTTCCTACCTCGATGAATACGAAGAACTCGAAAGTATCTGACGTATTTTGGATTATTAAAGTCTCTTTAATATTTTCCCATACTTGGAGCTTCCACTATTGAAAGTTTCAACATATTCCGTCCGAGCAAAATGTAATCTAGCATCGCGATTACATTTTGCCAAAGTCTGACGTCGAAACGTCACAGATTTCAAACGTCAGGCAACCGCGCTGCTAATTTCTTCTTTCTCAACGATCGAGATGATGCAAAGAGATTCTTCCGAGCGGCTGAACTGCATCGTCGGTGCAATTAAAGGAGTCTTTAAATTCAAATGAGTATAAACGCGTTATCAGAGGGGGTTAGTCGTACACGCGCGGAACAATCGCTTAACGCGCGCTCGGGTTTCCGTTAATATGCCTATTCTTTTATGTTCTTGTTAATCACGTCATAATTTTACACATCGAATGGCACCGCGGAATGCGGCGTTACAATGAGGTTTGATAGATCGCGATGGCCGCGTGATTTACATGAAAATTCATGACGTGTTGCGTGCTTACTTCTTTATTACAATCTCCTCGCTTCGCTTCGCGACACAGACCGTTCAGACAGCGTTAATATTCAACGTTTACAGTTTCGCCCGAGGGAAAACAGTTTTCCAATGGTCTCCGCCAGCGAGGAAAAGTTCTAATACAGTTCCAATAATGCAAATCCTAGGATCTATATAAAAATACGTTCTATTTTACAAAAAGAAGAGTACATTCCTAAAAACGAACAATTTTACACGTTTCTATTTATTCTAAATTCTCGATGCAATATTATATCGTTCTTCAAATTACCACTGATCAAATTTTGATTCAAATTCGTACGATTATCGTGTTTCCGTGGACGTGGTCGATCCTAAAAACCGAAAGTCGTAGAGGTTGCTCTTATTTGTTCGCAATTTACAGCTCCGTGTTTTATCGTCGTCCAAATTCGGAAGGATTTACACACCAGTCGTGCCTTTTCCGCCGAGGAGGTGTCGACCGACGTTTCTTTTCCGCGCTTAGGCGTCCAGCTTTCGATCTTTCGCCGCGGTGACCAGTTCCCGTTCGCGTCACGCTGTCGGTTTTTACAACGTGTCGCAGGGTCCGAGCGGAATAACATTATCGCGAGGTTAACGCGGTCGATAATCGACACGTTTCTATCAGCCATGTTTTTCCGCCGTCTATGAATAATACCGGCTGAATTTTACGCTCGGGAAATCCATTTTCAGGCGCGCGCTTCTTTTTTTTTTTTCACCGACCAACCTGAGTTTCCGTGATCGCAATCGATATTCTTGGCCGCGGTTCGTCCCGTCGACCAAGGTGTCGGCGATTACTATCGCGCAGTCTCGAATTACTGAAAATCGACGATATTGGTTTTCCTCGAGCGTTTTTCTCGCGACGGACAAGGTCAGATGCACGCAAGAAGGAAAGAGACGGAGCCACCAAGGATTATCCGTGGAATATTTACTCGTTTACCGGTCTCGTGGATCAATTTTCCAAAATTTTCTCGAAACAAACATTGGAAACTCGAATACTCAGCCTAACGTATTTATTTACGTATTTGTGCGACGGTAGTCCTCGATATAACGACAAATAATTGTGGTAGAGAGTGCAAGGAGTATTAACGCGTGATGCAAGTTGCGGATACTAATCGACTCATGAAAGGCAAATTAACACATGACGCATAAAGTCACATAAATTACGTTTAAAGGAGGATAACAACCGGCCAAAAGTGTTTTACTTGTCGCGTTGTGCATTAACATTCTTGTACGTGTTGCTGAATTTTCCATAAGTTGTACGACGTCAATAACTTATCGATAAGTTTCGTTATGCTAATAATATCGTAGAATCTATTGAGCGCAGTATACGGTACATGTATAAGCTTATCTTATTGATCTTCGCGTGAGTTTAATTCGAGAAACGCATCGAGCACGTCTTGCGCAATAATTTAAAATTCAGCGTTCGAATCATCCGGTTCAAAATTTTTAAAAATCGTATCAACGACCAACGTAAAAGAAAAAAGAAGCGAGTAGAAATCGAGATATTTATCTTATATTCTTGGCGTTTCGAACAGTGAAATTTTTCCGCGTTCGTTGCGAAATATTTCGTTTCATAAATCAAAATTTCCGGCGAACGGTTAACGAATAAACAGTCGTTCACGTTTTATTCGAAGATCCGTGTCCAGATAAGAGTTTCAGCCGTCTCTGGTGACCGGAAACCGCGTCTCTCGCGGAGGCTGTGCCTCGTGCCACGCTTCCTACCAGGCAGAAACACGTCAATTGGCCCGTTTTACGAAGCGGCCGGGGCCGTGTTCCGTGTGATTTATAACCGCGAGATGGCCCGATTTCTGGTACACACCCTAGAACGGGAGCCTCATTATTTCGCGCACCCTGTAATTTGTCCACTCGTCGTGTGCCCCGACCGAAGCCCGAACGGATTCCTCGACTTTCTCGGAACGGTCGAGGGCCGTTTCGAAGCCGGCGTTTAGCCCCGTAGCCGTTCATTTCCTTCGCCGTTGATAAACTCGTGTTTACAAACCGATCGTGTACGCTCCCGATTGAGTCGTCCTCCTGGAATCGACTGTCGTCTCCATTCTCGTTACTCCTTTTCTCTCGCCTCGAAACCGTCGACTTTATCTTTCGAATCACCGTAATTCATCCAAAAATGCCACAGGATCTGTCACTAAAGAACCGGAAGCATTCGTCTTCGAGGCGAGAAATTCCAAAATCGGGTTTCTTTGAGATAACGTCCGAATTAAAAACTGTTCCACCTTTTTCCACTTAAATCGTTAGGTGGTTTTAGACGAGGACCTTCTGTACACGATTTGTGTAAAAATTCCGAGATTCATATAGGAGGTAGTCGAAGGTTGGCGATCAGCGATCTGTACGATGTACACGGTGTGTAACGGTCATTACTGGTTGCTGGTAACTCAGTTACTGGTCTCTTCCGTAATAATGGACTAACCGAGCTGGAAGATCCAAGTTCGATACGGTCCAGCAGCGTCCAATCGATTCCGTTTCTTCTTGGTCGGCAGAAGCGATCGAACCTGCGCGTTATCGTCCGGGAGATTGATTCCGTGGAGAGTCGGAGCGCAACGGGACGCGAGCCCGGAGCGTAAAAATCGTTCGAAACGAGCGGCGATTCTTGCCCCGAGAGTCCACGTGAACGCGACTTTACGTAAGCCGTTCGCGGCAGACGTAACGCACAGGCGAATCTGCCAATCACGGGAAGCCCGTATCCTTATGCAAGGAGCATGATTGGCCGAGTCATTTGCGGATTAGACGTCTTACGCAAATCTACCGCCGAAGCGACACCGTGTGCATGTTCCGGAGCTCTCTCTCTCTCTCTCTCTCTCTCACGCGTACGCGGATACGTTTGATACGGGCACACGAACGCCAACGGTACACGCACAATAGGCCTATTTAATATTCCATTTTTCTGATTGATGATAATTAGTGCACCAGAGTGACGTTTCAGCAGATGAGCGGCTAATGAATATTAATGTACTGTTTAATGGAATTGATTGGTGCGCGCTGGTTTGATTACATCACACGCTGCAGTCGGACAGCCACCCGGGAAAACAGGATATCTCGACGTTTTATTTGGCCAATGATGGACACCTTTGCGTCTACGTTTTCGATCCGAGGACCCTCGGCTTTTTCTCGTTTTCGGGGTGGTTTATTCGAATTGGAGATTACATAAAAAATGTTTTTATTTCGAATACCCCAGGAGTCTGGAACTTGCATCACGCGGACGAGTCATCGACGAAATATTGCGCAGGATTCCGTGGTTGATTTCACGTGGTTTTCGACGCGAATTGATTTCCAGGCTATCGCCTTTATCGCTCATTATCGGCAGCGCGCGTTCCCGTTGTTTTTATTTGAACCGCGATAAAATTAACATGCGCCGGCAATACGCTTTCACCGAAGTTGCGTTCGCCGCGTTGCGCGAGATTTTCGATGTATTTCAGTTCGAGCGTTAATTAATATTTGTCAACGAGCGAAGAAAGTGCACCAAGAAAGAACGATCGCGAATCGTACGAACATTTTTCTCGTTTCGACGTTGAAATCGATTCTGGCAAACCACCCTTAACTGATGTCAGTTTCTGTAACACGCGATGCTCGCAATTAATCGCGTTACGGTGGAAGCTTTAATCTTCTCGAAGTGGCTAATCATTCTAATAACTTCAATTTTCATCGCTCTATTGCTTTCTAGATTAAAATTATCGGTATCACGATCTATAAACTCTCCTGCGCTCGATTATAATAACATAAATTTTCTCTCCACCGTACAATTAATAACAATACATTTTTTTCTACCGTTACGTAAATAACCTCAGGATCTCATTTATCTATTAATCGACGTACCTCGTCTGGAAATTCTATTTCACGTTCCACCGTTTCAATTAATTATAAGAAAAATGTTTAATTTATGCTGCAGCGTATAGCCGCATGCAAGACGCGCGGTCAGGAGTATCAAAAATAAAACGTAACACTGGAAATTCGTTAAAATTGTCGTTTCTATTTTTAATCGTATTGTCAAAAAATTATTCGTCCCGGTTAGGACCGATAATTGTCGTCGATGGGAGTGTTCTGTGTGTATTCGCGAATCGGGATCGATCGGGGCAGTGCGTGGTGAATTCCTCCAATCGTAGCGTGAAATTGCCAATATCCACGTATAAAAAGGGCCGGGTCGGTAAGGGCGAAGGGGGTTGGCGGGGCGTCGAATCGAGGGCGGAAACCGCAAAACCGCAAACATCCTCCGCGCCGCGTACAGCGGACAATCATATCATTACCTTCTGCGGTCCCGTCATTCTGACACCTCGTTTCGACCCGTCATTTGTCATCGACGTTGCACTTTGCTGCACCGCGACCGCTTAAGGAACGTGCAGTTAAAGCGCGCGCCATTCATTCAGGCTCGTGCAGTCGGCGGTTTTCCTGATTGCGCGAAACGCAAACCGCACAGGATAATCGCTGGGGCTTCGTCCACTTTAGGGACTCCGAAGAACGACTCGAAACACGCACCGGCGAACTATCGAACGCTCGAGCTTAGTTTTCCGTCGAAAGTCCCGAAGAAACTACGATTCTTAGGTTGAATTTATTATTTTTCTATCGTGAGATCCCTTTCTGTTTCAACGCTAATATTTTTTTATTTGGACGAAACGTGTAACTGCAAGAGGCTTGATAATGTTTGAGCACCGTTATCCGGGGAAAGATGTAAACAAATGAGTACTGTACCAGCTCGACGTGTTTGAGTTTGAGGGAGAAAATGCGAGTCAGATGTTTCGAGAATCAGATTTCGGGACACGCCTGCGTGCGTCAGAGTGGCTGAGTGGCATCTGCGAGTGCACGTGTGTTTACACGCGTGTGGGGGCGAGGGTTCTTAAGGACACTGCTGCACGGGTGAATTTTAAGAAAGTTTAGCAACCGTGGAAACTTGGTGTCAGAGTCGGGAACAAAATTGTAACGAGCCTAGTGGTAAACAACTTTTCCTTTCTGTGTATTTTCCAGGGTTTATTTTGACCCCATGCCTACTAATTATTTTGGAATCGTACGAAAATTCGATGAACGAAAGTGAAAATTTTGAAGAAGAGTGGGGTTTTGCGAAGGTGTGTAGCGAAAACGGGGTCGAAAGGGAGCCGGTAGGTGGACGGAGCGGGGGCAGAAGGAGGCCAAGAGGGCGAGGGAAGGTTTTTTTGTCGAGTCGGCTAGCCGAACTCTCGACTCGTTCGGTTCGTAAGAGTCGTTGCTCGCGGCGGCCACGTCAATTTGTCGAAATTCGTTCCGAATCGTTTTATGTCTGCCACGCCGCGAGACGCGACCCGCTACCATGCGTATACAATGCCTCGGCCCATAGTGCTACCACATCCCCGGGTCCCGTTCCCCAAACCGTTCCTTCGATGATTCGTCTCGAGACCTCTAAGGACACATAAACATATTTCTTTCTCCAGAGAGAGAAAACCGCTCCCGGTGCTGCCGTTTTCTTCCATTTGCGACCGAGAAATCGTTCGTTTCTCGCCCGGGGAATTATTTTTGCCCGTTCCGGTCCCGAAGCGACCGATAATAATTAACGAATAATTATCCGAAACAACTAGCGATCGGGAAATATAATACAACTGTCGGCCATTTGCAAAATTCAGACAAACCCTTCTAAAGTCTTCTATGACTAAAAATTATAGGTTTCGTCGTCTTGTATTAACATTTTTCAAAATGGTGAATTCTTAGCTTCGGGGATGCGTGACGATTCCATGGAAAATCGTGAAACAAAATTCTTAACGCGATGTATTACGAACGACCGTATCGTAATGCAAACGTATAAATATTGCATATCTATATTGCATACGCCGCGCTATACACTTTCTCCTTTATTTTAACCCGCAAGAAAAAGTCCCGAGGAGTGAGGTCAGAACCGCTGGCCATGTTTTATCCATTGCTCGCAGCCCAACTCGCTGTATCTCATGAATGGCTCATGAGGAAACAACATTTTGGGTTCGTTGCATTCCTTGCAATTTCCTTCGCAATATTTTACGTGCCACATATAAGAGTGCCATTTAGAGAATCACGGATCGTCGTCGGACTCCAACAGGTCCACGGAATCCAAGTTTCGTTTTGTCTGTAACTATTTCTCGTTCAATACGAATTCCACGAGCAGCTTTTACGCTCTGAACGAATATCAGGAGACCGAATTGTCGAATTCTCTACAAACCCATGGCCCTTAAAATTTCAATTACATTTACGTACGCAGATACTGAACGTTGGAAAGATTAAAAGTTATGTTTGTTCGAAGTAGCTTTACAGATAAGCCTGCAATACGAGTGGTTTAATATAATTCTTAGATGCACGCGTGGTTTCGCGATTTTCCGAATCGAAAATATCGACCGTTCTCGTAGGAGACAGCAATAAAATTTCGCGTAAGAAAATCGAAACGTGGGAACCGGTTTATTAGCATAAGCCGCGCGGATTTTAATTATCGGAAATCGTACAAGTTCGACGACACTTTTTCCCCCGTATCGAGCAATTTATCGTACGAACCGACGGGAACGCGTGGATTATTACGTGTTCCTTTTTTTCCTGGAGCGTCGTAGTCGAGGTACACTTTAAATCACAAGTGTAGTCCCCCAGTTGCAACGTAGTTGCACCAGCATCGGCTAATCTTATCTTATCCGGTGATCCTCCTAATGCCTTGGTAACCCTGGTCCGTGTGTAACACGCGCTCGTTCGCCCACGAGAATACCGTTGAAAAATATTCTCTTCCCATATTAATAAAACGATCGATTCGATCTAATAACGAGCCAACCGACACCTGGAGTATTAAACTTCCGCGTAATTTTCATCGCGCCGACGTCGTATCAATTTCCCTTTTCCTCGGTGTGGATTTCTTGCTGGGGAAATTACGCTATTGCAAAACCCAAGAGTTTATTTCCAAACTGCCTTCTGCGTTTTAAAAATACCATTTTTTGTTTTACTATACAGAGCAAATAATTTATTTTTACGTTCATACGATAAATCTTACTTTTGATTTATTTGCAATATGTCTCAAATAGAGGTTTATTATTTATTTTGAAAATTTATTACAACCAAATTGTCGATGTGCCGAATCTTGCGAAAGAATTGAGAAACAATGAAAGTTATTGTGCAAGGTCACTGTATCTGAGATTATATTTCTCGACATATAGCATAACAGATAAATCTATCCACGGTTATCTATCCAGATTCAATTCAGGGTTAGATGTAATACCAGCTATATTCTGCATATATTTGACACATATTTATCATGTTAGTTCACGCTATAAATGTCTAGTCTAACTAGATTACTCATAATTATACATGATTATTAGTAAATCGTGCTTCCGTAAGCTTCATAATTATCGTATTTAAGACACTTTGGAAATGAACATTTCAAATTAGAATAATATCGTGAATTTGGAGTAATATGAATAGGTCAGAGGCCAAAAGAACGCACGATCGGTCGCCGTCGGAACGCGAAAGGTCTGTTTCTCGTCGAATTTTGTCTCTTTCGTCCAAATTTTTGACAAAAATAATTTATATTCGTTCTTAGCGTTTAAATGAAGCTTGCTGAATTTGCATTGAATTTCATTAGAGTTTTTAATCTTGCAGGTCGTGTATTTTTAAAATATCAGCCACTGGATACGTTTGTGTTATCTTTCACCTATCATACTTTTCCCTAAATAAAAAGTTTATATAATATTAGTCGATATCATATATTATTTAAAATACCACTCAACTACAATGCTGCAATTATTCCGGTATAATTAATGAGTCCTCTTATCTATAACAAAGTTGCAACTTCGTTTATCACTAAAAAAAAAAAATACGTAGTAAGTTTAAAAGTGGTATTTTCATTTTTCACGAATGCAGTTTATTTGTTTAAGCAAAACTACACGGAAGGCTCGCGAAATGACCCGACGCATCCGCGTGTCTCTTTATTTTTGTGCTCGAGGAATCCCGACAATTCGATCCCGCTTATATCTTCTAATCGGTGTATAATTAAAGCCTCAGAATTTACAGAATGCTGTTCGCGGGTAACGAATAACACCGAGGTAATTTATTTCTTTCTCTTTGATCGTCGAAAGGACACGTTTTGTTTTTTCTTTTTTATTGGAGCAGCTCGCGTCCACGTTGAACGGCTTTCACCGTTTCGCGACGAGCGTTATTTTCGCTGACGCATATCCACGGACTCTCGTCTTTAATCTTTAATCAACGATATCGTTGACTGATCGAAAGATTAATTTATTGTACGACAGATATCCTCGTGGCACGGTCTTCCGTTACCTCTTAAAATAAATTGCACGGAAATAAAACAAGCTTCTCTACCATTTCAGTTGAGAGGATACTCGATGTTCGCGCTTCTTTATTAATTTTTTGTCGTCGATGTGTGCAAGCTTTTTTTCAAATTATTTGTTTTACGGTCGTATCAAACCACTTGGATCGATACTTCAAATTATCTTGGATACAGATAGAATTAATATTAGAACACGTTCTATCGAAGGAAAATTTGCAGTACTTACGACTTGTGCACACTTTTGGCTAACTGCGGCTGTTTTCTTTGTTTCAGACACCCCCTGTTCCCGCTTCTCGCGCTGATCTTCGAGAAGTGTGAGCTGGCGACGTGTACACCACGTGAACCAAGTGTCGCGGGCGGTGACGTGTGCTCGTCAGAGAGCTTCAACGAGGACATTGCTGTCTTCTCCAAACAGGTAAGGATCTCATCGATCGATAGTCCAAATCCACTCACACTGATCTTTCGAAACACCCAACAGAGAATCTGCCATGAAACTAACGTAGCTCCAGTTTGTCAAAATTAAAACTTTCTCTAGCTTTCCAACTTATTTTCATTCTCGTTTTTACGTGTACTTTTTAATTATTGCTACGAATGAGTTCATGTTTACACCTACGAATCGTTTAATAGGGGCGAAGTACACTACCGTCCATAAGTTTCACGAGGTGTTGTATAGTAACATTTCTAGCTACGTCTCTTAAGCACATATTCAATATGATTATATTTTTTCCCCCGCAAGCAAGTTTTCCGCCAGTACAAGTTGCAAAATGCAAATTAAAAATTAAATTTTATTTCCTTATTTTGTGATTATTTACTCATTTAAAATTATTATTGTCCTTAAAAGTTTGCGATGCACATATATTTGAATAAACATGGAATAAATATATTTAGAAGCGCGTGAATAAGCATTAGAGATAAACGTGACTAGAATCGAAAAACTTGTGAATATTGCGACAAAAAGTTTGGAATAAGATTACGACGGATACGGTAGAAATATTAATCGATAGAATTATTGCTTCGAGACGGAGATGGCGACGAGAAGAAAATTGAAGATTGTCCGTGAACTTAAAATATCATTTACATTTCCTCTGTAAAGTAATGAATTAATAAGCGATAGAATTCATGAGGTACCTACACCCTTTCTTCTCTCGGTTTTTAATTTTTTAATCTTAGCACGTCTGGTAAATTTATGGTGTTCGTTTTACAATGTTATTTCGTTCGATTTCTATATTTATTCGGCGATGATTTATGGACGGGACTGTACGTTTGCGAAACGTGACAATTAAAGAAATACGTGGACGAGTCGAAGTACCAGGTGCCCTAAAATGTGTCGAATGCGAGGAATTTGATGGCTCATTCCGTCGAGCGACAGGTGGATTATTAACTGTGACAACCGAGTCACTTCGGTAATTAATTTATTACGAGAAAAGAGTATGGAGTATATTTTGCTAAAATTCAAGAAGCTTTTAATCACATTTAGGAACTAATTACGTTCGAGGGTTGTATTATTGCTGACAAATGGACAGTTTTATAAATTACTTCGTCCCCTGTAGTCCATTCTTAACGCTTGAACCGCCATTTAAATAAATCTCCGTTCAGGTAGCAGCATAAATAATTCTGAGTAATTCGAATTTTCGATATTTACAAAAAACAAATCGTGAAATCGTTCTTCATTTCTTCCGGGGCCTTATCTACTATCGCGGCTCCAAGGATCCTCGTTTGAGAAACCCTGGCGCAGAGAAACGCCGCGGAGCCTTCGAGTATCCTTTCTCACCCCCGCTCTCCGCGTGTCTTCGAGCCTTGTAATTCTATGCGCCTTATTAAGATGCAAATGTCATGTCAATTTCGCAATTCTAACGGACTATTCGTGAATGCGCGTGGTTGTCTCTCGACGTAATGTCGACATGCTCGCGGATAAATAACAGAACGGCCAGGACTAATGACCTAACCCTTTCTCCGTTCGCCATTCGAGGCTGGTTCCGTTCTACGCGTTGTGCACCAAAATAACAAAGATTTTTATCTTTCATATACATCATCAACACTCTAACGCGTTGATCCCATTACTCGTAAACTTTTAAGTTACTATCGTTAAAACTGTTGTAAAGTACCAAGACACCGTAACGCTATCAAATATGCTCTATACAAGTGCTATAAAAAAACGCCATTTTAACTGAGGTGTGTAGTTAGATAATAGTACCTCGGTTATTGCACGAGAGTCTGTATGGCGACAAGTGGGTGGAGATACGCCGAGTGAAGCTACTGTGTTGCACGGAATCGGGGCTGAAAGTGTGCAATAATCGAGGTACTACTGTACAGCTCACGAAAGGGAAACAAATTCCCTTGATAGGGAATGGAATAGCGAGATAAACGATGGGAGTTTGCGATGCTAGATCCATCGAGGATCTGCGAAATTTCCAACCTATTTTCGAATCGAACCTATGACGCAGCAACGTCGAATTAAGACACGGACCACCTACCTCACCTTATCCTTCCTCGCGCCGGGGCTTAACTCTTATCGTTATCTCGTCGTGGCGTTGGCTCGAAGCAGTTGCTACTGTATTACCGACGATCTATATTTAGAGATTACGATCCGTCGATCGTTTCCCAGCGTCCGTGGTTGCTCGCGAAAAAACACGACACCCGGGTGCCCCTGATAAACACCCGAAGTCGAACAATCGATACCAGGAAACAAAAGGAAACAGCAAAGACGCGCAATTTTTACGCCAGGATTAATCGACTTACGAGATACGTGAAAATTAACGTACGAGAGGATATTGGAAGATATTGTAACATGGGAATTTCGCAATTTATAGCACAGGAATATTGTCACAAGATCGACGTTAGTTGGAATTTTTATTTATTTCGAACGAAATAGTACGCACAACGACACGTGCTGCGAAATTGAAGAAAAATTTACGTTTCAAGGCGATAATAGCGCAACTACGACTGACGATGTCGTTTATGACAGGAATGGTTGCAATATTTATGCAAAGATAAACTGACATTGGACTCATATTTTATTTTAGCTACCGAGTGCACACTTTACTTTGAATTCTCGAAGGAAATCATTTTTAGATCTCTGGTACTACTCGCAGGATATATAAAAAATATAATTTTGAGAAAAGGGCTTCAAGACAGGACTACAAATAATTATGAAAACAAAAAATTGAAACGGAGATCTTCGGTGTATTTTTTTTATTGGGAAAGAAATTTTCATTTAAACTCGATAATAGTGAAATCCACGACGAAATTCAGGGGTGGCGAAACGACGTCGAACAATTGGCGCGCAGGAGAACAGGCAACCAAGACGAACGCGCAATTTTATGCGAAGATAAACTGCGACACACGGCTATTTGACTTGGCGATATACATGGGTGCCGATACGACGTCCCTCAATCTAAATGTGCTGCATTAGTTTGCATCGACTAACCGCGCAAAGAACCACCGCCAAGGCGACATTTTTATCGTCGCTGCTCGACTTAATCGCCGCGACTTTGTTTCCACGGTCTGACGTTCCGTGTCTTTGCGAAATCGTTGTATCCACACGAGGAAACAACGATTACCCTTTTCGCCGGTTAAAATCCAACATTCTTTTCGACAGAACACGGCCACAGGGCTCACTGGGGACCAAAATACCCCCTGGATAGAATTTAGATTCGATAATTGGAATTTTTAGAAAAAATTTTTGCGTCACTGTCGTTAATTTTAAGAAAATCAAGTCATAAACTATCCGCGCGAATAGTCGTTTCCCCTCCATTTCGATAAAAAAGAGGAATTTGCGTAATCATGAAACCTTCTTCTCGTGTTTATTTTAATAAATTCGCAATTAACTTGTATTTATCGACGTTGATCGAAAAAGTAATGAAATCCTTCGATCAAAGTCGATAAATACATCGATATTGAATACTTGTACAAAATTACTAATAATGTCATAAAAATGCATTTTACGATCGAAAAGACGGATCGTCGTTGCACAGCGAGTTATCGAATAATTACCAATTTTGTTACAAGCTCGTTAATCTCCGAAGATTTATCGATACACAGTACATTTTATACATGGTCGGGCAGAGAAAGCGCTGCGTGAATATACTTTTGAAACAAGTTATTCGATTAAGATCTCGAATTGCATAAATTAATGATTAATAGCATCGCTGTCGTAAAAAGGCATTTTATGGACGGAAAGACGGATTTTTCTTACATAGTAAACATTGGTTGGGGGAAATCTTTATGGCTGCGCCGTAGTATACCTACCTGAACGTGCTCCCGAGCGTGGACGGTGAAACGGCGATGTTTTTAAAAGGCCCAAATCGTTCCGCGGCGCAAGGCCCCGCGTATGGGTTCTCCGGTTACCTACGCGTGTCCTTGGGAGGACTCGCCTCAGGTGAGTTACCGGCGAGTGAGAAGTAAAAGAGGAAAAGCAAAACGCGACAAAAGAGTGACGAAGAAAGGGAACGCGAGTCTTCTTCCGGCTCGTTGCTCGCGTCCCCCGGGGAACACGGCCCTGAACGAACTTCTCGAAGTTCCTTGGAACAATTGCCCTCAAATTTTATTTCCGTTTCATCGTTTCATAGACGACACACGTGCTCTTCACAATTATTTGGAGTGCTTACAGATTTTCTAATAAAATTCTATCACATCAAATTGTAAAAACGTCGGCCATCATTTTTGTGGCCATAAATTTTGCTAAAATATTAATGGGTCGTAGCCCTAGTTTCGTTCAGATAGAGAGGGTCGTATCGAAGAGACGTGACTCATTTGGAGCGGTTCGAAATCACTGGTGAGGCCCCCGGGGCCCTTCGGACACATTCCCTCACGAAACGATCGCTCGTGACAACGCATGGCCTGGAATTAGGGAAACCGCAGAATTCTTTGTGGCCCGTCACGCGGTTTTTGGTTTCTCTTCGAAGGAAGAACGTAACGAGGTTCTAGACTCCAGTCGTTGGGACTCATTGGGTCCAGATATATTTTATTATTCGCCAAACAAAAACAAGAAGAGTTTCTATATGGAATTTATTATTTCCATCACCTATTTTCATCAACGTAATTTTACGATTCCTGAACTGTAATTGGGCGACATTTAGTTGCACATTTTCAAGCTCACGCATGGCTGTTTATCGTCTCCGTTCGCGTCGATTCGCCTCGAGCATCGTGTCCGTTCGGTCGAACCGTGTACGTCACACGCATTATCGACGCAATTAATTTCCTTGTCCGTTAACGAATCGCGAGTCGATGATGACACATCGTCCGTACCTCGAGATATCTGCGCCGTAGATCGCCTCCAGGGCCGCGAATCCTTCGAAACGCAACGAGGAAACAGCCGGTGCGTTCGCCGTTGGACGTGTCCCGCCAATTCAGAGATTGTACACCGACCCCCGAGCGGATAAACAAATTGTCGAGGGGGGAAAGGACAGTTGCTCG